ATTTCATATTCATTTATTTGATTTATTGTACCACTTTCAGGTTCACATTGATAAACACGATGATAACTTTAAAACGAAAAAAATGTATACATTAATAAGAAATAAATAATTAAATAATTACGTAATAAAAAGAAAGACTTGTAATTGTTCATGCCATGTCATACTTTGAACAGAATCCATTTGTGTCATTGTATTAAATTCTGGTAACATTAATACACATTGTTCTTCATATTGATTATAAATTGTAAGACAACGCATAAATTGCGGTAAACGATGTCCTTTATATGTTTGACACCAATCATCAGCTATAATATAACGTCCATTAGAACATAATTGATATAAACCAGCACGATTTTGTGTTTGAAATGTTTGTGTTGGTGTTGAATTTGATAAACGATTACAGACTGTTGATGATAAAAGTGGTTCATCAGGAGTAAAAGCAGCTGCTTGTGATAATAAATATTTATTATAATCACTTGAATGAATTTCATTTTGAGATATGACAGGTGTATTCGAACGAAATGGAACTGAAGTAGACTAAGAAAAGAAAAATTCATAGTTTTTTCTTTTTTTAAAAATAATATTAAGATTTATTCACACTGCTTTTAATAGTTGATGTTGGAAAAGATATTGATTCATTTCCTAATTTTATTTTTGTTGAATTATACCAATGAAGTAAACGTTGTTCACAAACATTTTGAGGATCTGATGTTGGTAAACGTCTAGATATTTTTTTTTATTAATAAAATAAATTTTTGTATTTCGTAAAGAAAATCTTACTTGGAAATAATTTCTTGTATACGTTGATCAATAACATATTGTTGATCATTTGTTTTACCATAACGTGATAGCCATGAAAAAATAAAATCAATTTGACAATAATATTTTCCACAATGGGTACAATGTGGATCCGTTATAGTTGATGATGTTGATTTTGATGATGATTCAACTGTTATCGGTGAATCAAGATATGAATTCATCATTGTCTTCAAAAAGAAAAACTAATGAAATATAATTTTCGATTTTTTTAAATAATTACCATTTGTCGACGAGAAAATGAATGTGCTAAAGCATAATCTTTCGATGAAGAATTATTTAAATTTTGTTTGTTCATATTGTTCATTCAAAATACAAACTGGAAATACAAAGAAATATTTCTTATCGATTCTTTTCTCTTTCTATTTAGAATAATAAATTGAATTTTAGATTTATTCCTAAGAGAAGAAAAAAAAAGAAATAGAACGACGAAAATATCCATGCCGAA